AATTATATAAAAGAATTTAATACACATTCAAAGATACACATTCTACTAATAATGAAATATTTTATAATACAACTTATTTATTGCTTGTAGCTTACAATATTATTTACGGAAAAGTACACGTCCGATTTTATTATCACAATATATTCTTTCATGGCACTTCAGCTTTCATTTATAATTCAATATAATTCATTTTGGGTTAACGGTCAAACCGTAAGTTGGATTTTTCTTGTATACATTTAAATAAATATTTAAATATCTGCTATAAGCAATTGTTTTTCTCTATACAATTTTTTTCCAAATAATTATTCTTCCATTTTACGAGAAGTGTTGTGAATAAAAAATTATTAACGCAATAGATGAAAAATTTATTTGAGGAACTTAAGTATATTTGTAACGAGTTAAAAGACGAAAATGAGATCATACTTATGAAAAGATATGGGAGCAACGCAAAACGTTATACAGCTATAATTACATGTAAGAGAACTACCGATTTTTATCATATACATACAAATTTACATAAAATGTTAAATAAACTATCAATTTAAAAATATGCGGATTTACTATTCCAACAAAAAAAGTGTTTTTAGATCAACAAATAATCTGCGTGCAGTTTATTGAGTTGGAAAAAGTATACAAAATTCATAACAGAATTATTATTATTAATCTACCAAGACCCAGTCCAACTGAAAAGGATAGCTTCTCGAATTAATTGTATAAAATGTATAAAATTATATAAAGATTTATACCAGTCCAATTTCACTTATTATTTTGTATTTTAATTATCCAAAGGACCCCGCACAAACTTTACGGAAAATGGACTTTGGTGAAACTTTGTCATTTGTACTTCAAGTAATACTGATATAAGGGACACTGATCGAGAGTTACCATTACCAAAAGTTAATCCTATGAGCCGTTTTTGTACTAAAAGGGCTCAAAGTTCAATAAATGTGCCTATAATTCAAACTTTGAACACTTTTAGAACAAAAACGGCTTATAAGACTGACTTGTGGTAATGGTAACTTTCGATCAGCCTCACTTGAAGTATAATATGACAAAGTTTCAGCCAATTTTACCTAATTTTATTTTTCATCGGGGAAAAAGGACCCCACACAAACCCTAAGGAAAATGGATTTTGGAATTTCAAAGGTTTGTGCGAGGTTTTTTAAAGAATTTAATACCGAAAGAGTTTGAAATAACTACACGACTATTTTTTTGCTAAAATATATTACCAAAAACCCAAGAAATTTTAAATGTATAGTAAATTGATATAGGAAACAAAGAATGATTTATATGACTATTTTTCTCATATCTTTAGTGATCGCAATCGTTGCTATACCCATTGTTATTGTTTCATCAATATGGCCACGCGTTCTCGACATTATTAAACCTAAAAACGAGTCTCGATCAAATATATGGTTGCAAGTCATGTCTCAACAGTTTATTGATCAAGAAAAATACTGTTATTTATATTTATTCCACATGAATACAGCTCTTTTCATAGGGTCAATTGCAACGATAGCGACAGGAACGATGCTTATAGTATGTCTTACATACGCATGTGCAATGTTTAAAATCGCCAGGTAAAAGAGTAAATGTAAGAGTAAAAAATTAATTTAGAAATAAAATTGTCTTAATTACCTCAAATAACTACAGAAAAAAATATAATTTTACCAAATATATTATTAATATATTAATATATTATTCATAGTCTTCGGATTGAAAAAGCAATGATGGCTAATAATTTACAAAATAAATTCGAGAACGAAATTATGATTTATAAAGGAATAATTTATGCCGTGGACGTACATCGCAAAGCTATGGAGTTAGTATTTATTTGATTTTAATTCTTGCATTAGTAGATGTAACAATATGTTTTTATATTTGAAGGTTTTGCAAGTATTTAATATCTAATTTTGAGGGATCGTTCTTCTTTTTAATAGCGATTGGTGTGCTCAATTTAAGCCTTAACCTTTGTCGAGTGAGTTTCAATACCTTTGAATAGATAACAATAAGTTTATACAATATGTATAGTAGCATGTAATCGTAGTTGTTTAGTCACAATTAAAAAATTACTGCAATCAATTTTTTTTATTAGCACTGTCGATTAATTGATACCTAAATTACGCTATTAAAGTATAATATTCATGATGCTTATGAGATATCCTATATACCATATAATATTAATTGTAGCTATGCTGTTTTAGATTTTTCAGATTGTATCAGGTGAAATGAATAAAGAGCAATTCCTATTACACTTAATTGCTACAGCTATCACCTTCTTATACATGTTTGTAGCGAACTATATTGGACAAGAAATCATGGACCACAATAATAATATATTTACTACCGCGTAAGAATTTAATATCGAGTAATTCCGGGAGAGTTAGCCCACACTTTTTTAAAAGTCTCTAGCATTAAAACCACCCGATATATTACACCGGGAAAATGTATTAGATAGTAATGAAATTATTTCAATAGATCATTTCACCCGGTGGGCTATCTCTCCCGGAATTACCCTATAATTATAACAGTATTTTAGTAACTGCTAGTAAAAATGAAGATTTATATGTATAACTTAAATCATCGATAAATTTAAGATTGTTCCTGTATTTTTTGTATACTTTTCGAGTCCTTGTCTCATCATTTGTTTTGTAGATATAATGTTCGTTGGTATAAAGCACCGTTACACGCACAAAAACTGATATTGTTCCTGCTACAAATGGGCAATAAAACTTTCGGCTTAAATGTGGGTGGATTGTTTGTAGCATCTATAAATTGTTTCGCTTCAGTAAGAAATAGTTTGCTTATTATTACGGAATATATACGAAATGTATCACATGACATGCACAGCATATAATAAAAGGAAATGTAATTCATTGCAGTTGGTAAGCGCATCAATATCTTACTTTACTGTTTTATGTTCTATACAACAATGACGTGAAGCTATGTTGTCTATACAATAATGTTAAATAGATAAGTATGAAAACAAATATCTCTGAATTTCAACGCGTTTAGTTAATTGCTTGATAAGATTATCAAAGATGTAATGCTATTGTTTCTTTTTAAGTTGTTGTCTGTAATGTAAACAAAAAAATTAGTATTGTAAAAAGATTTTCGCCCTATAAGCTGTGTAGCTTTTTAACTCCTTCATTTACTCTTTATTTTGCTCTTTATTCTTTTTCTCTTGCTCTACAGTGCTGTATAGCTCAAAAAGATACAGCATTATAGATCATTTTTACAGAATATATTTTTTAGTTTATTTTTGTGTACATAGAACTGATTATTTTATCATGAAAGTATAAGATATGTATAGCCATAAGATATGTATTTCATATATTATATTATAAATTAAATACACACACATATCGTGCAGCTTTATACAAGACAGATAATACTATTTCATCAATAATAACACTAATCTTATTTATCAACTTATTACTTTGTTTTCGGAAATCGACGATGACTGGGTCGCAAACTTTTCATTTCGATCACCGTCATCATGCAGATTGTTTTTCATATAGACATATCTATGAGAGATCAGTACTTTAATATACTACTAACAAGTAACACTACCCAAGTGTTACACGCCGATCTTTTTATAGTTTTATCTGAACTGTTGGTTACCATGTCAGATGCGTCCTAATTTGGGTTTTCTCCTAGAAAGGGTTTTTACAGTCATTGAAGCAACAGTCAGTGTAAAAATTAAGAATTTTCAGATTAATTTATTATCTTCGATCTTTTGGAAAAGTTTTTAAATATTCTTCAAAATAATTAGATACTTATCGAATTTTGTCTTATTCATACGCATTCAATTAAATAATGAGTGTTACAATATTTTATAACATTTCTAATGTGTACAATTATTATTACATAATTTATAGGGAATACATAATATTAATAACAAAATATAAATGCAACTTAATAATTGATTTAAAATAATGAGCATACTGTTTAAAGATCTGTTGTTGTTAAAATATAATAATAATAAATATAATTATATTTATTACCATTATATTTAACAATATGTATAATAGATACATACATATTACTTTTACACATAAGTATTTATATGTATACATCATAGACATAATATCTCTAGACCGAGCGTTTCCCTTTATTTGTGCAGTGAGGGGTAAAGGTTCACGTAGAAAAGGACAAACTCTGTTTTGTGTCATTTCGTTCTCTCTCGTTCACATGCGAACGAGAGTAAACCAAATAGCATAAAACAGAGTTTGTCCCTTTCTACGTGAACCTCTACCCCCACTGCTCAATGTTCAGTCTAGATATATTATGTATATGATATATATTTAGTTAGAGTTTAAGTAATATAATAATATAATAATAGTAAATATAATTATATTTAATAGTATTTAATAATATTATTAGATTAAATGATTAGTTTCATGTTTCGAATTTCTACAATCGTTTCACCTATTCGGATTAAGTCCCCCTGCCCTTATCTACCCGAATCCCTACCACCCGTGTTTCAACATAATTAACCGCGACGCGATTTTCTAGGGGTTTGAGTTTAACGCGCCCGCGGGATTTAATAGGGGTTTCACTCTCGCACATATGCGAGAATGTATGTATATAGAAGCATAACCCACCCGAATTATGACAAATCAAAAGAAATCAAAGTATACTTCGTACAGCACCTTACTTAGGTACTCCATCAGAGTGGCCAATATTGACCACTTACCTCGTCGTATTTAGTCCATCGTTGGGCCAGATTGGACATACCTTTCGTTGCTCCCGGCCATACAATCTCGTCATTTTGACCAGAGATCAGGAAGGAAGAAAACTCCTTCCATAGTCGGTTATCGTCACTGACAAATATTTCGTACGGTTCGAATATACGAGTGTCGATCGTATCGCAAAATGCAGGATTACGAGAGGTTAATTAAAGGAGAATATTAATTAAAAAAACTTTACTGTATATACGAATTCAATTTAATTTTACTTCCGTTATTTACTTAAAAATATTGACCATCTTTTCGTAACTTAAGATTTTTGAATTCGAAATTCAAGTAGATATAGAAAAAAAATTTACTTCGCGTTAGAGTGATTTTAATCATATTCCTCGATAAATTAAAATTTATAATATGGAAAAGTTAAATAATTAACTAAAAATTTTTCCTGAAAAACCGATCGCGAAAACCGACCGCGAAAATACAAGGATGCGTGTGACTATGCATGTATTCATGCGAGACGCATCTTGAAAGTACGTATATCACGTACATGTACATACATACATACAAATAATAAATGATGTGAGATCCAGAAAAACGAAACTTCTTTCACGATTCCAACCGATATTATAATTGCATATTATAATTAATTAATAACCGCAAATAATATATAAAAATAAGTTAAAATTTCAGTGTTCTGGACAAAACATATTAGAATCTCACATCATATTATTTTACTACCTATACATATATATCAATTCGTTAATGAAAATGGATAGGCTGCAAAAGATTAGCTCGACGAATACATCATTAATATTCGCCATATTTCGTTTAAGTTTTGTAATTCAACGATTCTCAACATGGAAAATGAGCTCAACATACCCTGATTTGTAAAGCTCTATGAAATTAAACGAATGTGAAAAAAACTTTAAGTTGAACTCGTTGAACTTTAGAGGCCTCGCTGTAGGAAAGAATGAATCTCAGATCTTCCGGATTGCCTCCGATAGAAAACCAGGGATTAACTCTGGTTCTCCAACAAGGTCTCCAATGTTCAAAGGGCAACGGAAAATATAAACTCCAAAGATCAAGGTCCTCGCTGCAAGAAAGAATGAATCCCAGATCTTCCGGATTACCTCCGATAGCGGTCATTTCGGCAGGGAGTTAACGACGATCGTTTTTCAAATCATTAAATCTTGTATATTTTCATTTTTATCGAAATAAAAATTATTCTTCCATTATTAGTGTTAATGGGAGAATATTTATGGAGAAAGATATATATAAAATCTTCTCTTCTTTTTTAAAATTAATTTCGCGAATCGACGTCGCGCCCTCGTGCCGAAACAGTTGCTTTCGGGGATCCGTGACAAAGAAAACCAGAGATTAACTCTGGTTCTGCAACGGCGCAGCTAATTTTCCACATTGAAAATTATTTATACTCCTCTCTGGAGTTTCAATATGTTAAATAAAAAATTTACTTGTCGTTAGCATTTGTAACCTATCCATGTTAAGGCAACGAATATACAAGATAAACTACGATCTACAATCTACGATCTACGAAATGCACTGTAAAAAAGTATGTAAAATTACATACATAATAAGTGTAGCGATTACTCTATTAATAACGAAAATATATAAATGTACAGACTTTTACCAAAAAATTTATTTACTCTTTGTTGTGTAAATACTCGTTTATACATGATGAAAAATTACAAAAAAATGTCAAATTTACACAATCAAAAGCAAGCAGTTTACTTATTATATAAGGTAATAATTTTACTTACAAGGAGTAAATTTACTGACGTATGTAAATATACACCTTTACTAGATGGTCCGAACATTACTCACTATAATACTTGTAATTTTACATGTAATTTTTTTACAGTGTGTATATTCGTTGCCGTAATAAAAAAGTTTCCGACTCACCGATTCGATGCGCAGTAGCGGAGTTGGTGATTCTACGTTGATCCTGTAACATACAATTATAAAGTTCATATTAAAACAGGGTATTCAAGAAAATAAATATTAAAGAAAATAATTTTTAAATTAGTGAAAATAAACGAGAGAAAGATTAATTTTATATAAAAGAAAAAATATTTACCCTAAAGTTGCTCCGCCGGTGCCTGATGCCTTCCTCAGGCCTCCTCCTCCACTCAGGTTGTCTTCTTGCACACTCGCGAAAACACAAAGATCGTTCGCGCGACTTTACACTTTGAAAGTCTTTAGTCCAATTACACAAACGGCACTCCCGAACGCGACGCGACACGACGAATCGCCGCGCGCGGTTGCGATTCGTTTAAACTGACGAAATAATAGCGAAATTATTCGTCAGTCCTCGAAAGTTCGTGCTGAAATGAACAGAATCGATTAATAAATGTGCTCTCTAAAAGCCAATCGGTAGATTATCACTGAAAATAGTGAATCGATTCGTTATTTTCAGTAATAATCCACCGATTAACTTTCAGAGAGTGTTAGGCCTGGTTTATCATTTTCTGGCTAACTGTTAATATGAAAGTTATTCGACTCTCTATGCTTTTCTATATTATCTAAGAAGAGACAAAGAATCGATTAAACTATGGTCAACAGTTTATTAGAAACTGAAAAATCGAGCCCAAATAGTGCAATGGGTACTTTTGGTTGTCCCGTCTTTAGAGTATGTACTCTCTAAAATCAATCAATGGATTATCACTGAAAACAGTGAATATTCACTGATTCGGTGATAATGCACTGATTGATTTTTAGAGAGTAACTCTTCGGGGTACTTAAGCCCCTCCACCACGACAAGGTAGTACCCGAGGAGGGGATTATCGACAAAAAACCGTGCAATTACATATGTGTATATTTAGAAAAATGAATATTGAGTGAACGTAAATTAGTGTTGCTATTTAATGCACGACGTGAAAGAGATTCATGCAATCGAAAGATTAATTCACACTCTCGATCTTGGGACAAAATCAATTTTCTCGGAATTTATCAATAATGCCTCATAAACTAATAATCCGAGATAAGCGATTCTTATCTCGTTAGAAGCGCTGAAATCTTAGCTTTCCAACGAGTCCAGGTTCATCTCGCTACGATTTTTCTGTGCGGAGATATTGACGATTATGTCGACTCGCGATCTTAAGGGGTAATGCCACTCTAGAATTTTGAAAAAATGCAAAAAAATTTTTTTTGCTTAAATGATGCCTTAGGGTCTTAGAAATAAGGTACAATAGGTTTTATAATAGGGAAAAGGTTTTAAGTGCTTATTCCATGAACTGCAGTTCATGGTTCATGGATGCAGCTGAGCATGTTCCGAGCCTC